CTACGGAGTGAGTCTCCAACTGAAAAAAAAAAAAAAATCACAGGTTTCAGAAAAATTAGGATGTAGACTACAACAGATTTGAGTTAAAATCCTGGCTCATCACATACACTCTGGGAGAGTTACTTCGCATCTCTAAACCCCAATTTCTCTTTCTTTTTTTTTCACAGATGGGGTCTCTCTCTGTCACCCTTGCTGAAGCATAGTGGCACCATCTACAACTTCAAACCTCTGGCCTCAACCTCAGCCTTTCAAGTAGCAGGGAATGTAGTAGAAAGCCACTAGACCCAGCTAAACCTCAATTTATTTTTCTGCTAAATGGGTATATTTCTAGCTGGGAGAAGGAAAGGGGCTACTCCTAGTTAGCACATTGCTCAAGTCACCCAGAGTAAAAGCCCAAGGTCATTTTAAGACAATCTTGTCCACTACACTACGCATACAACCAAGGGGATTCCCCGCCCCCCTTACTAGGATAGCACTTGGTTTTTAGCCTGCCCACAGTCCTTCTCACACATAGGCTGGTAGTAGTGTTACTTAGGTTCCTTGAAATTTCATTCTTTTTCAGCAGACATGGTAATCAACATCTTTAAGCCCAGCCCAATGCTTCTTGCACTCTGATTTATAACATTCAGAATTCAGAGATGCCAGACAGGCCAAATGTGGCCCACCTGAGACTTTAGCATGTGTGGCCCACCTGAGACTTTAGCAAGAACATATTCACACTCTTTTTTAAGATACGGGGTCTTACTACATTGCTCAGGCTAGTCTCGAACTCCTGGCCTCAAGCCATCCTCTAGCTTCAGCCTCTTGAGTAGCTCGGATGACAGACATGTGCCACCATGCCCAGCTAAAGACGTTCACACTCTTTTTTTTTTTTTTTTGAGTTGGAGTCTCACTCTGTCACCCAGACTGGAGTGCAGTGGCTGCTCCCGGCCACCGCAGCCTTGACCGGCTGGGCTCCGGCGATCCTTCCGCCTCAGCCTTCCAAGTAGCTGGAATTACAGGCGCGTGCTACCACGCACGGCTGATTTTTTATTTATTGTAGAGATGAGGTCTCGCCAAGTTGCCCAGGCGGATCTCGAACCCGCGGGCTCAGGCAATCCACTCACCTCAGCCTCCCAAAGGCGCAGAATTACAGGCTGAGCCACTGAGCCGGCTAACGTTCACACTCTTAAGGAAGCCTAAACCACCTGTTGGAAATGAACTGATGTTTGCCCTCAGTAGAGTCAGAGGTCAGGTCAGAGTAGATCAGGTCAGAACATGAGAAGGTTGGTAAGCCCAGCTGCTATCACGAAACTCTGTGCCATGAACTTTACAGAGTAGGTTCACCTTGTGTCTCCATGAACAGACAGCTCTAAATAATGGTCTTCATGCTACATCCTTAACCAAAGCTGTTTGAAAAAAATTGAAACTGGGCTCAGTGGCTCAGTCAGTAATCCCAGCAATTTGGGAGGCCGAGGCAAGTAGACTGCCAGAGCCTATGGGTTCGAGACCCGCCGGGGCAACTTGGCGAGACCTCATCTCTACAATAAATTTTTTAAAATAGCTGGGCATGGTAGCACGCGCCTGTAGTTCCAGCTACTTGTAAGGCTGAGGCGGAAGGATCGCCGGAGCCCAGTAGGTCAAGGCTGCAGTGGCCGGGAGCGGCCACTGCACTCCAGTCTGGGCAACAGAGTGAGACTCCAACTCCAAAAGAAAAAAAAAAAAGGAAAGGAAAAAAAATTGAGGCACTGGGCAGCAGGACCGATTCCAAGATTGCAAAGAAAGAATACAGATAAATGGAGCTAAGAGGTGTATTGATTCATACTTGGGTTCCAACAATCGCCGCCCACTCAAATGTTCCTCACCAGATGCCACATGCACACTTAGCCACACGAACATCCACACCCTCACTTGCTTCCATTTGGTGCCTGCCCACGTCCGTGGCCAAATCTCATACTCCAGGTGAAGGAAGATTCTGTGCTTTCAGTCACCTCAGCTATAAAGTGACTTCTCAGAAAAATCCAGATTTTGCCTGTGTGAGTCCATCACCCGACTTTGGTCTGATCTGATCTGATCCTTTACTGGGTCATTCATACCATTTGCTGGCGATCTGCTTCTAGTCATAGTGCCCAAAAGGCCAGATCACAACTTTTTGTTCTCTTATTATCAGGGGGCTGAATCCCCGCTGCCCCTACATTTTACTTTTCCAGTAACAGGTGAACACACAAGCCCAGAAGCTAGGTTCTGCTGATTCTGGTCCCTGACCTTTGGACACCTCCTGCAATCTTTGGTAACTGCATCCACACTAGCACACACATGAGATTACGAATATCTGTTCTGTTCTGACTGAATTAAGTCTACATTGTACAAGTGTCTTGGATCAGGGCCTGTGCATCCACAGTGTCTACAACTGGAGCAGGATATGGTGGTTTTATTACATTCAATTAACAAATGAATTAATTTAAATGAATTTTTTTTGAGTTGGAGTCTCACTCTGTCGCCCAGACTGGAGTGCAGTGGCCGCTCCCAGCCACCGCAGCCTCGACCTGCTGGGCTCAGGCGATCCTTCCCCCTCAGCCTTCCAAGTAGCCAGAATTACAGGCATGTGCTACCACGCCCGACTGATTTTTTGATTTATTGTAAAGATGAGGTCTTGCTGCCCAGGCGGGTCTTGAACCCGCGGGCTCAGGCAATCCACTCACCTCAGCCTGATTTTTTTTTTTTTTTGAGTTGGAGTCTCAACTCTGTCACCCAGACTGGAGTGCAGTGGCCACTCCCGGCCACCAGAGCCTCAACTTGCTGGGCTCCGGCGATCCTTCCGCCTCAGCCTTCCAAGTAGCTGGAACTACAGGCGTGCACTACCACGCCTGCCGAATTTTTGATTTATTGCAGAGATGAGGTCTCGCCAAGTTGCCCAGGCGGGTCTCGAACCCGCGGGCTCAGGCAATCCACTCACCTCAGCCTCCCAAAGGCACGGGATTACAGGCTGAGCCACCGAGCCCGGCTAATTTAAATGAATTTTTTAAAAAATAAATGGATTTTAAAGCTATTCAGACGATTAGGTCATAAAAACTTGTCCAAACAATTTACTGAGTGTTTTTAGGCAAAGAAAGGATTTTTGTTTTTCGAAGAAAAGGGTTTGGATGGACACCCAGTGACCTAAAATACTACTTTTTTCAGAGGAGGGAAAACAACAAATACTGAAGGTAAAAACTGCAGGGGGTGGGGAGGGGAGAATGTTCAGTTGCTGTGTAGGAGGAAGGGCAGGTATCTATACTGAAACTGCAGAATGAGCGGATGACAGCTGCACGCTGCTCCCTTCCTGTGACTGGGCTGGCCCGAGCTCAGTGGCACCAGACTGTGAGGTGGACGTCCAGAAGTGCTTGATGGAAATGAAGCCACAATTTCAGAACGACAAAAGTTGAGTAGAAATAAGCCCTTTCCGTTTAACCTCCTTAGCGCCTGCAGAGCCCATCTGCTTCTCTTTATCCTCACAGCCCTTGGCTTATTATATTGTCTGGCCTAACTTCTTACCCCCTGGTTTTGGCAACTCCACAACACGCTCGGTCTTCGAAAATCCTGGCAGCAGAACAGAGGCCTTGGGAGGGGCCAGGCTAGGCACCGGCCCAAACCTTGTGGGGTCCCCCATGCCTTTCAGCATAGCGTTCCAACTTCTCAGAGAGTAGAGAAGGCCGCAGCTCCTGCCACTGCCCGCCGGCCTTTCTTCCAGCGATGGAAGGGTCGGCCCTTCCCTCAACGCGGCACGCTGTCATCCTCAAAGCTCATCGAGAGGTGGGGAGAGGTGCGCCCGGAGGCCCCGCCCACGAAAGGGCACGCTTGCGTGCGCGCCGCAGCGGCCATCTTGGACTCGGGCAGCCGGCCCGCCGCCAGCCATCGCCGCGCGATTGCGCGGGGAGGGGGATGACCGTGCGCTCCCTGTTTCCCTCACGCGCTTGTGAACGACAGACCAAGAGCTCCACGCTCTCCTCCGGCCTCCACGTAAAGCCTCCAGCCAGTATGCTGGTGGCAAATCCTAGCTCCCTGGATGACTCTAGGAAGGCATCAGTTTGCTTATCTGTAAATGTGAGTTTGAGCACCGTCCCCAACTCCAGCCACCTTAGCTATTTGGGCATCGATGCTAAACTCTCAGCATAAAGCCTGACACATAGTTTGCGTTCCATAAATATAGTCTGTGAGCCTTTCCTGTACACTGCGGGCGTCTTACAAGCCAACACCTTCCAGCCACCGCTGCCTGCAGCACGGCCTTCGCCCTTTCCCTATAATCGCATCCCTGCCGGGCTCTGACCTTGTGGAGGGGCAGGGGGCTTGCAAGCCCGCCCCAGGGTGTGTGAGAGTGAAGTTCATGAGACCTCTTGGCTTTGCATGTGACCATTTTGGAAGGGTGTCAGAAACACAGACCATGGTGCCCAGGACTGGAAAGACTGTGGATTTTGGAACATTTCAACGCCCCCATGCTTGTTATTTTTATCACCCCTGGCTGCGTCCCCATAGGGACTCCCATGCGGCATAAAACTCCTAGAATGAAAGCCCTCTGTGTGTGTGCTGGCTGTGGGGACATCAGGAAGGGGGAGCTGGGACATTGTGTCCCAGGCAGAGCTAAGTGTGGAGGAGAAAGGCCTTGTGGACCCATGTGGGTGGTGGCCCCAGGGAAGGAGGGGAATCCAGGCCAGGCATGAGGTGGCCTGTGGGGGGGGTCCTCTAACACGTGCAGCTGTTCCACCAGCTCTGTAGTCTGTAGTCAAAGGCCAGCAGTTCTGACTTCCTAAGGGGGTGGAAAACCGCCCAGAACCCAAAGAGATGAGGGAGTGTGTGAAGGGGCTAAGGGGCTGCTGGTGGGGAGAGGCCAAGGCCTTCCAGCTTCCTGGGGTCTAGAGGACTGTACTCAGACTAAAGGATTTTGGAAGCCCTGTGTGACATTTTATTCTGTAAGCAGGGGCATGCGAGGTACACCCAGGTTCCCACTCTAGCCTGAAGGAAACAGGCAGCAGAGGATACAAAAAGTGAGGGGATTGCACAGTTTATTTCCAAACACATTCTGAGGATGGGGGTGGCCTACTGGCTCCATCTGCATCCCCTCCCTGCATTTGGCTTAGTCAAGAACTCCTTTCTCCTTACCCCAGACCTCTAGGCTGTACAGGATAGAAAAACCATTCTCACTCCCACCCTAAGGAGAGACCTAGACAGGTGAGGAGTGTGAAGGGTGTGGGTGGGAGCTAGGGTTCAAGTATTCACAGTTCCTCCATCCATCCCCCTGATTACACTGTTCCCGGGCCATAGGGAGGATCCTATCTCTGGGATTCCTAGTGGTGATGATCACCCCTCTCCCACTCAGAACCCTCTAGATGAACTCCTTACACCTTTCCCCTGTCATAACAAACCAAGTCCTAAGCCCTGTAATCTGGGCAAGGAGGGGCCCCAGGACGCTGCTCACCCAAGGCCTCTGGGAATGGGGGCAAGGGTTGTCATTTGTAGTAAATGGGCTGGGGACAAGTGGTTCTAAGGGGAGAGGAAGGGAAAGAACTGAGGACCTTGGGAGGCAGGCTTGGAGGCTCCTGCCGGGTAAGTTTGGATAGCTCCTGCCTGTACCTCCCCCTCCTCACCCCCCAGGCCCAGAATCCCTGAGAGTTCAACCGTAATGGCAATATGGAGTGGGGGAGTGGGATCAGGGGAGATGGGCAGGACCTCGGCCCCCACCTCCAGACAGTCCAGCGCCTGGGAGACATGAAGCTTAGGGAGGACCAGGACTGGGCTTGAGTCCCAGCTCTCAGGCTCTGACCTTCCAGACTAGCTGAATGCTGGGGCTATAGGGTAGACCACTAACCCTCGTGCCCCAGGTGTCCTGGCCTTGGGCAGAGTAGTGGGGATGGGGTAGAGGGGTTCTCCCAAAGGTATGGTAAAAAGCTTAAACCATTAACAACTGCCTGGGAAGAAGTGGCTCCTGGTCTCTTGCCTTCCCAAGTTATAGACCACCCCAGTGCCCAGCAGACAGGGCTAAGGGGGTCCCAAAGAGCCAAAGGAGGAGGTAACAGCCCCTCTCTGACAGGGTGTGGCCCAGAGAGGGGGCCTGTTAGCACCATGCAATGTTAGGGCGCCTCTTCAGCCCGAATGACCCCTGGGCAGGAGCCCTTCGAAGCTAGAGTGCCCACTTGCTAAAGCTTCTGTACCCTTGAGGGGGGACCCCTGCGTGGGAGGGGGAAGGGCAAAGACTTGGCTTAAGTCCAGACAGGGGTCTCAGTTGGGACCCCAAAGGGCCCCCTCAGGAATCATGACTTGAAGAATCTTCGTACCACAAACTGGCCCAGCAGAACCACAGCCAGAACCATTAGCACGTTCAGGATGGGGCCGTTGCCCAAGCTCAGGGCTGCCACCTGCCGGGAGAAAGAGTGGTCATGGAGAGCCTGGTACCCTGGAGGCGGGCGGGTACGGGAGAGGGGCAGCCTCAGTGGCAGGGAGGAAGTTGCAGTCTTCGGGCACTCACCCAGCCGCCTCTCTGTGCGATCCACCGGGCAATGCAGTGATGCAGCATGAAGTCGGCCACGAAGCGGGTCACCTGGCCCAGGAAGCCAGTCAGGCCGCGCTGGTACACGTGTAGGGCCAGACGGTAGCCGAAGCCCAAGAGAGCCACCACACGGCCCCAGTTGATGCCACTTTCAAACAGACTGCAGACAGAGCATCCCATATACTTAGTAGAGAGCCCCAGGAGGCCCTTGAGCCGGCCTCCCCTCTCCCACTCCCCCCAGCTGGAAAGCTGGATGGCTGAGGCGGCAGAGGCTGCCTCAGCCTGGCCTGGGTGTGGGAGGAACCTGGGTCTCTGTGAAGGAGAAGGCATGGGGGCGTATGAGCTAGATACCGCTGCTGGGGTATGACCCCCAGGCTGCAGGCTCAAAGGGGCCCAGAGAGGGCAGAGGGCAGGGCAAGTGGATGGAGACAGAAGGGAGATTACCTGTGGGCGTTGCTGCTAGCCTGGCAGCCCGAGGGAGAGCAGAGAGAAAGGACAGAAGAGATTAGGCAGGACAGGTCCCGGAGTCAGAGCGGCATGGGGGCTGGCCCCTAAGGACATGGGCTGGACATTTCAGCTCTGAGCACGATTATAAATCTATCACCTACTCCTGCCTTCACCTCCAGCCTCAAATCTATCTCATATTAACCTCCCTAACTCCAGAGTAATGACAGCTAACACCTTGTAAGTGTGGACACTATTCTAAGCATAGTTTCTCTGTTTTACAGACAAGGAGACTACCGGCTAGGGAGTTTCACAAAGCTGGGTTTTTTTTTTTTAGCCGGGGTCTCACTCTGTAACCAGGCTGGAGTGCAGCGGCATGACCATGGCTCGTCACAGCTTTGATCTCTTGGGCTCAAGTGATCCTTCCGCCTCAGCCTCCTGAGTAGCTGGGACTACTATAGATCCATGCCACTACACCTGGCTAATTTTTGATTTTTTTGTACAGGCGGGATCTCACTATGTTGCCTAGGCTAGTCTTGAACTCTTAGGCTCAAGCAATCCTCCTGCCTTGACCTCCCAAAACGCTGGAATTTTAGGTGTGAGTCACCGCACCTGACTACAAAGCTGGGATTTGAACCCAGGTATTTGGCATCTTCAACCACTATACCAGACTGCCTCATGGATGCCAGATCACAGCAACTGGAAGCTAACCTTGGAGGTTAGCAACCTTACCACATCTTCAGTGTGACATGGGATTTCAAATCAAACCACAAAGGACAGTATGTCCCAGTGGGGCTGGGAGGCGTCCCCACCCCAGGACCCCTCTAGAGTCCTGATCCAACCAGTCCAATCCTCAGAGTCAGAGCTCAGAAGAGCTGTGAGCTTATGCACAAAGGACAGACTCTGGGACCCCTGACCACACGTGAGTTAACAGCAGATGTGTTGCTGTCACTGACAGAGAAGCATTGCCTAAATCTATCACCATCACAGGGAGCTCATCATACGGGCAGGGCATGGCGTAGGGTGACAGGACAGCAGAGCCTAAAGCCAGGGGCGAAGCGGGGGTACCTTGTGGCAATCTTGATGAAATACTGGTAAGCGTTCTCTGCCGTGGGCTGCAGGTGCTGCAGCATGCTCTGGAACTCTGAGTCGTAGCGTCGATTGATGTCATCCCCGATGATGGCGAGCTGCCGGCCCACCTGTCCCATGGTGCTGCAGGAGCAGAAGGATGCAAATGAGTGGATGGCTGGGCGGCCAGGGCCAGGGCCTGGCTCACAGCTGAGGGGTTTTGTCTAAGCTGCCCTAGACTTGTGCACCCCTCCTTGGAACTCCTCGATTGTGTTCTCAGACGTGAGGGCTGGGCTCGGGCCCAAGGGGTAGGCGTATGCTGAAAAGGGTACAAGGACCTTGGGGCTGGGGAGGCCCAAGACAAAGAAGACGCCCAGCTGGGCATGGTGGCTCAGGCCTATAATCCCAGCACTTTGGGAAGCTGAGACGAGAGGATGGCCTGAGCCCAGGAGTTTGAGGACCACCCTGGGCAACATGGCGAGACCTCATCTCTACAATAAATAAAAAAATTAGCCGGGCATGGTAGAGTGCACCTGTAGTCCCAGCTACTTGGAAGGCTGAGGCAGAAGATTGCCTGAGCCTGGCAGGTCGAGGCTGTGGTAGCCTGTGATTGTGTCACTGCACTCCAGCCCAGATGACAGAGTGAGAACTCCAACTCATGCTGGGCTCGGTGGCTCAGCCTGTAATCCCATGCTTTGGGAGGCCGCGGTTCGAGACCTGCCTGGGCAGCTTGGCAAGACCTCATCTCTACAATAAAATAAAAAATTAGCCGGGCCTGGTAGTGCGCGCCTGTAGTTCCAGCTACTCGGAAGGCTGAGGCGGAAGGATCGCCGGAGCCCAGCAGGTCGAGGCTGTGGTGGCCGGGAGCGGCCACTGCACTCCAGTCTGGGCAACAGAGTGAGACTCCAACTCAAAAAAAAAGAACTCCAACTCAAAAAAACGAGATGTTTCAATGAGAAAGGGCAAGACCTCCAGGTCTTCCTGGCTCCCAGGACCTGCACAGGGACCCATGTGAGCCCCTGTCTCCCTAAAGATGTCCCTGTGGGCCCAGGGACTGTAGCTCACCTGCTGGGTTCTGGGAGCAAGGTGACCATCTCTGGGTCGATAGGCGCAGCTGCCCCTTCGGCCTCTTGTTCCTGCTGGTGGCGGTAAAAAACGTAGCTGCGGAAAACCTCCTCCGTGTCCTGGGCTACCTGCTCCTCTGAGAATCAAAGCCGGGAGTCAGGGAGGGCCAGGCCCCACAGCCTGTGCCTTGTAAGTGGCTCCTTCTCCAAGCCACAGCTATCCTCACCCTTGGACAGGAATGTCCCTACTCCGACCCCAGCCAGCCCCTCGTGCCTGCTCTGTGCACTTTCCATTCAGTTCTCACAATAGCCCTGTGGAGCAGGCAGTCCCTAGTTTACAGATGAGGAACCTGAGGTACAGGGTGTCTAAGTGGCCTGCACAAGGGCACACAGCTTGAGCAAGCAGTGGGGCCAGGACACAGCCCCAAGCGTCTGGGCTCCAGAGTCAGTGTATAAAGGCTGGATGCCTTTATACACTGAGACCATGTGGGAAACAAGATTTGAAATTGTAGCCTGGGGCCCAGTAAAATCACACAGAAACACAGTGACAGATCTGGGACCTGAACTCTGAGTTCAGGGAACAGCCTGTCATGGCTGTGAGCTCTGAGCTTCCCTAGTCATCCCCTTGGAAGAGGAAAGGAGGGCGGCCATCTTACTTCCTCCCTCCAGTTACAACAATTGCATTCCCTGTTAGGGAGACCTGACTCGATGATAAGCCACTTTACTTCCTTATTTCTCCGACTGCAGGGACAACAGCCATGTCCCATTCCCCTCCCGGCCTCCCTCACCTCTGACCCCACCCTCTGCCCCCGGGGTGGCACTGTGCTCTCTCGCTGCTCCCCAACCTCCAGACCCTTCCCAGCCCAGACTCCTCCCTGCTCCCAGAGCTCATTAACCTTGACCGAAGCTCCACCTTCTGAGCCTAGCAAGCCACTTGCCTGGGGCGAGGACATACTTTTCTACTTTATCCAGGTAGGGCCTGCCTCTGAGTCCCACTTGGCTCTTCCCTCTTCTGCTCTCTCCACCCTCACAGACAGCCCTAGCGGTTATGGGAGGGGGGGAGGGGACAGGAAGACCCTTACCAGAAGCGGGGGGCAGGGGAGGCTCTCTGCACCCGTGTCCGGGAGGACCTGGGCCTTGCCCGGATGCCATTTCTCAGGTCTCAGTGAAGGACAACGTCAGCCTGTGGAGATGGGCGAGGAAGGGCAGAGATGGGAAACAGAGGCAGAGACCTCTGACTGCGGACCCCAGAGACATTGCCACGTCCACAGAGGGAGGACCTCCACTTCATTTTCGAATGTCCTCTGGGGCATTTTTTTGTTACTCCACCACCTGGGACCCTGTGGCATCTACTGGGAAGAAATCATTTATTGAGCCTTTCACTGGCACCTTTCTTTTTTTTTTTTGAGTTGGAGTCTCACTCTGTCACCCAGACTGGAGTGCAGTGGCCGCTCCCGGCCACCGCAGCCTCGACCTGCTGGGCTCCCGGCGATCCTTCCGCCTCAGCCTTCCAAGTAGCCGGAATTACAGGCACGCGCTACCACGCCCGGCTGACTTTTTGATTTATTGTAGAGATGAGGTCTTGCTGCCCAGGCGGGTCATGAACCTGCGGGCTCAGGCGATCCACTCACCTCAGCCTCCCAAAGGCGCAGGCTTACAGGCTGAGCCACCAAGCCCGGCTTCACCGGCACCTTTCAAGGAAGAAAGGGGAGGCAAGGCTAGGCGTGGTGGCTCACTCCTGAATCCCAGCACTTTGGGAGGCCAAAGTGGGCGGGCTGCTTGAGACCAGCCTGGGCAATGCAGTAAGACCATGTCTCTATAAAAAAATTAAGAAATTAGCTGGGCATGGTGGTACATGCCTGTAGTCTCAGCTACTTGGGAGGCTGAGGCAGAGGGATTGTCTGAGCCCAAGGAGTGGAGGCTGCAGTGAGCCGTGAGCATGCCACTGCACTCCAGCCTGGGCAACAGAGTGAGACCCTGACTCAAACAAGAAAGAAAGGCTGGGCTCGGTGGCTCAGCCTGTAATCCCGCGCTGTGGGAGGCCGAGGTGAGTGGATTGCCTGAGCCCACGGGTTCGGAGACCCACCTGGGCAACTTGGCAAAACCTCATCTCTACAATAAATAAAAAATTAGCCGGGCATGGTAGCGCGCTCCTGTGGTTACAGCTACTTGGAAGGCTGAGGCGGAAGGATCACTGGAGCCCAGCAGGTCGAGGCTGCGGTGGCCGGAAGCCTGCCACTGCACTCCAGTCTGGGCGACAGAGTGAGACTCCAACTCAAAAAAGAAAGAAAGAAAGAAAGAAAGAGGCCAGGCACAGTGGCCTATGATCCCAGCACTTTGGGAGGTGGAGGCGAGAGGGTTGCCTGAACCCAGGGGTTCGAGACCAGCCTGGGTAACTTGGCAAGACCTTGTTTCTACAATAAATAGGTGGGCATGGTGGCATATGCTTGAAGTTCCAGCTACTTGGAAGATTGAGCTGGAAGGATCACCTGAGCCCGGCAGTTCGAAGTTGTGGTGGCCATGAGCAGGTGACTGCACTCCAGCCTGGGTGACAGAGTGAGACTCTGACTCAAAAAAAAAAGAAAAAAGAAAGAAAGAAAAAGAGAGGCAGCCAAGGACAGACCAAGGCATCTGCACCCTGGGTGCGTCCCCAGGGCCTGTAGGAAGGTGTGGCTGCGGCAGTGCCCTGGCTACTCTCAAGACCCGTTTTATGCCGCTCCTGGGCAAGTGAGGTTGTTTCAGAAGCTGGGGTTCTGTCAGCTGCTCCTGCGCCCCACCCTTGCTTACTGCAAGCCTGCCACCTCCCGACCAATGGCCTGTGAAGGCCCCCTCAAAAGCCCCACGTCTCGTTGACCCACAAGAACACACGTGTTCTCCAACTCAGGCCTGAAAGCCTCAGGTACAGACGCCTACCACGACGAGCACTCTCTGGGTGTCAGGCACTGAAAACTCACATGAACCTGGTGAGAAAATTGCCATCATACCCGTTTCACAGGTGGGAAAAGTGAATCACGAAGAGCTTAGTGTCTGAGGCCACAAAGCTAGTCAGGGAAAGTCAGGTTGTTTGAATCTCCGTGGATCCGTATACTCCCATTTATTTTCCAGTTTGTGGGCCTCAGAAGGTGTCCTTTCTCAGGGCAGTTTACCTCCTGCCTGGCAGTAAGAGGAAACCCTCAGGAGTCAGGGTTTTCATCACAGACCCTGACCTGACTCACCCATGGGCCCCACCATACACCTGCTCACTTCCCCCAGCCTGTTTCCCTCTTGCTTCGTCTTCCCACAGCCTCAATCTGCCGTGAGCCCTCGACACAGAGAGTATTTCCTGTCTATAAGCTGTTTCACTTTCAGTTTGCACCCCTTTCAGAGTCCTGACTGCCGCCCCCCTCCTGCCCCGCCTCCATTGCTCTGAAGGGAAGTGCTACCCTCCTATCCAGGGGGTGGGTACAGTTTCCCCTCCCCCTCCCCGCCTGGGTACCCTCTCCCACCTGCCTTCCTCTGAGGTCAGGACTGTTTTTGAAAGTGCCCAAGAGCTCTCAGAGAAGGGCTGGGGAGGGCTGGCCCACCTGGGCACTCAGCTTTTCACCCTCGAGCCTCTCGGGCAGGGACAGGGTGGAGGCAGACACCCCTCTCCTCCACCTCTGGAGGCCAGGCCTTGTGAAAACACATCCCTGCTCAGTGGCCCCTTCCCAAATAAGATGCCCTTCCTTCTCCCCTAGTCCCCAAACTCGGAACCCCGGGCGGCAGGCCAGAGGATGCCAGCTACCCCAACTCCTTCTGCCACCACCCCCAGGCTCCCCAAGCAAGCAAGTGGAGCTTCAGAACAGCCCCCAAGGCAGCGGCCTACACCGACCTGGGCCTATCCCTGTCCCTCAACCAAGCAGCCTCACTTCTCGGTAAGGGATGTCTATTCCACCCCTACCTCCTGGGCTTGCTGGCCCCAGGATGCATGTTCCCCAAGGAGATGCCTGGCTGGGCCCTAGCACCAGTCTCAGATCCGAGGGCAGCAGGAAGCGCAGAAAAAGTTCTCTCCCAGCCCTTGACCTTGGCTCTGACCGTCACTCCCATCCCCCCGACTGCTAAGGGACCCAGTTCTTACGATTCTCTGGCATCCAGGGCTGGAGTGAGAGGGGAAGCTGTCTGGGGGGCAGCCAGAGGGAAGCTTGACCCATCAGGCCCCAGCAGGGGTTGGTGGATCTGCCCAGGCAAGCCCTGAGCTCCCCCTCCCCACCGGCTCCAGGCGGGCTCCCTGCCCCACCCTGGTCTGGGCTGCTGGGATCTGGGAGGATGGGCAGGAGCCTCCCAGCTTACCTGCCGGGATCCTGGCCCAACCCGGGAGGGCTCTGCAGGGCCGAGGCTGGAGTTCCTGAGGGGACGGCGGCTGCTCCCAGGGGCTGGGTGAGAGCCCGGCTTCCAGGACCCTGCGTCACTGCATTCCTGGTGTCTGGATGTAGCCTTGGCTGGTCCCTGCGCGGCCCGAGTGACCCGCAAGGCTCCGGTGATCATAGAGGTGCCAGCTGCACCCAGCTCCAATCAGCTCCCTCTAGAGGAAGTTGCCCTGTGGCCGCCGGATGCGGATGCTCAAGCCTGCAGCCTGGAGGGCGGGCTGGGCGGACCAGGCAGGGCGTCACTCCCGCCTGCTTCCCCCGCCGGGAGCCCCGACCGGGCAGAGCAGCCGTCAGTCGCCTACTCTTTTTCCCAATCTCTAGTTTCCAGTCTCATCTTTGACCTTTCCCTCCCTTCCATCAATCAGTACCACTAAAAAATCTCAGGGTGGCAACACGTCTTAAGCACCACTGCATGGCAAGCAGTGGAATCTCTCAACAACCCTTGGAAGTAGGTGCTGTTGACTACACCCATTTTACAGATGAACAAACTGAGGCTCAGCTGCTTTAAACTACTCTCCCAAGGTCACTGAGTTGGGTTAATAAATCAGTTCTGACCAGGCTCGGTGGCTCAGCCTGTAATCCCAGCACTTTGGGAGGCCAGGGTGAGTGGATTACCTGAGCCCGCGGGTTCAAGACCCACCTGGGCAACTTGGCGAAACCTCGTCTCTACAATAAATAAAAAATTAGCCGGTTGTGGTAGTGTGCCCCTGTAATTCTGGCTACTTGGAAGGCTGAGGCGGAAGGATCGCTGGAGCTCAGCAGGTCGAGGCTGCGGTGGTCAGGAGCATGCCACTGCACTCAAGTCTGGGTGACAGAGGGAGACTCCAACTAAAAAACAAAAAATCGCCGGCTCGGGCTCCAAAATCAGTTCTGTAGCCTTCATGGGGAATATTAATACTAAATTGAGATTCAAGTTGCAATTCAGACCTGTGCCGCAGGCACTTTGGTGGTCTCTGGGGATTTCAAGTCCTGCAGGTGATAGGCAGGTAAACAGAGATTAAAACTCAGTGAGGGGCTGGGCCTGTGACCCCAGTGCTTTGGGAGGCGGAGGCGGGAGGCCAAGAGGTTGCAGTGAGCTATGATCACACCATTGTATTCCAGCCTGGATGACAGAGCGAGATCCTGTCTCTGAAAAGCAAAAATTGTTAAGTACATTAAATTACATGTAACTTAATCTAACACCACCAGGACAAGTACAAGCTGGATGCTCAGAGGAGAGACAGAGGCAGGACTGGTACTGTCTGGCCACTGGGAATGTTCTTGAGGACAGAGGAAACCCAAGAAGGACAGAAGTGTGCACACAATCCTCAGCAGCTCCTGCGCCATTCTCAGGGTCCAGTTCCATCCCAGCCTCCCCCTGTCCTCACCCTGCCAGGCTGGGGTGCTCACATCTCCCCCTCCAAGTCTTTGCCCTCACTCCCACCTCTCCTGCCTGAGCCCCCCAGGCCTCTCAGAGCCTCAGCCACTGCCAGCCGACCCAGTCCAGCTCCCCAGGCCTCCTTGCCCCACTCCATCCCTCTGCCCTCTCCTGGAACTCGTCTCCCCCCACCCTGTCCCCGCCCTCACCTGACCCTTGCCCTCTAGAACTCCTGCAGTTTCCAAGTTCCGAAGCAGTTGGTCCTGGGGATCTGGGTCAGAGTGCCTTTCTGGATGAAGGCCCCAGCCCCAGTCCCTCGATCTCAATTTTTGGCCGCTAATCCAGGTTCTGTTCTTCTGTAGCCTGGTGGGAAGCAGGGGAAGCCCCAAGAGCTTCAATGAGGCCCTGGCCAGGGGCCAGACGTGCCCCTTGCAAGACCAGGACGCCATTTCCCCGAGGATGGGCCACCAGGGAGGCATGGGGAGGGAGCCGGGGCCACCTGTGCTGCCCGGAGCCTTCTCTGTGGCCGTACCCAGGAGCTCCTCACACCTGCCACAGCACCATCCCTTAAGGCTGGGTGTGAGGACAGAGGGACCTATGCCCCCCACTGCAAGCAGGTCCTGAGCGTCTTGGCCCCGGGTGTGGAGACGAGGTCAGTCCTGCCCACAGGAGGCCAGGAGGTGCTGGGCCACCTGCCTGAGAAGAAAGAGGAGCAGGAAGAGGAGGAGGAAGAAGAGCCAGGAGAGGAGGCCTCTGGGGATCCAGGGGCCTCAGACAGGTGAGGGGCCTGGGGCCATGATGGGGGGCACCCACGTGGTGCCAGGGCTCGGGACAGAGGCCCTGGAAGAGGCCTGGATGTAAGGTGGGGGAAGGGGTCTAGTCCTGAGAGAGAGGCTCCCAAGATGGGGAGGGCTGGGGAACGGGAAGGGCTGGGGAACGGGAAGGGCTGGGACAGAAACACCTGGGTGGGGGGAATGTGGGGGTAGAGCTGAAGATAGAAACATCCGGGGGGGTGGGGAAAGAGGCACTGACAGGGGTCCTCCCCCAAGTGAAGAGGTGTGGATGGGGTGCCAGAGATGAAAGGGGGATGGGCCACGGGCCAGGGCGAGGGAGTGGAATGGAATCGTGCCTGGGGGGGCAGGGGAGGGCTGTGGGGCTACAGCTACTCCCAGGCTGTTTCTGCAGGGCCTGCTCTGCCCACCTTCCCTCCCCACTCTCTCCCTCCAGGTTTCCCACTCCCATGTGGGCCTGACAGCCATTTCCTATGAGGATGGGGACCCCCACCTTTCCCTCCCACCCCTCATTACTCTACTTTCAGGGAGGGGCGCTGACCAAGACCCCAGGAGGCAGCACAGAGGCTGATGGGAGAGGGAGCCTGGAGGGGCTGAGCAGGCCTGCAGGAGAGGCTTGGGGAGGGCTTGGGGGGGGCTCTGCCACATCTTGGGCCCCACCTAACTTCTGCACCTGACTGTGCTCTGGGATCAGAGGCCACTCTGTCCAGGCCCTAGAGGTGAAGCACGAATTCCTGCAGAGTGCCATGGGGCCACAGGAGGTCAGCTCTAAGGCTGGAAGGAAGAGGACGAATGTCTGCTGGAAGGTGAGTGTGCTGGCCACAAGCATGGGGGAGGTGCCAGAAGTGGACTCTCTCCCTCTAAGACTTCTCAGGGGCACAGGGCCTGGGAGGACACAGGACCCACTCTGAGGGACTGCTGGAGTCAGATGGCCTGGTTCAAGGCCCAACTTTACCATGCCAAGCTGGGTGTTGGTGGCAAGTTGCTCAAGTTCTCTTGCCTCAGTTTCCTCATTTATAAAATGGGACTATAATAGTACCTGTCTTTGAGGGTATTTGCAAGGGCTAACTGAGATACTCTTTGTAAAATGCCTAAAACTGTGCCTGGTACACACCAGGCATCAGCCAAAGAAAACTGTGCAATCCCACCCTCAGCTCAGCGCCCCCGTGCCCCGGCCTTCTGAAGTCCCTCTGCTGTCAGACTCTCAGTGACCATCACCCCTTCACAGGATGCCTCGTGTTGACCTTTTCCAAGGTGGTAGCGCCTCCCTGGAACAGCCTCCTCAATTTGTACAAGCAGCTTCAAAAATCCTTCATGGCCAAGGTCACTGGGTGATGTGGGGGTGAGGCCTGGGTGGAGCCTCCTTCCACTGTTGGCTGGACACCAGGCTATGAGGGGCCTGTGCCCGGCAGGGGGTCGGGGGAGCAATCACCTTTCTTTTTTTTTGAATTGGAGTCTCACTCTGTCGCCCAGACTCGAGTGCAGTGGCCCCTCCCGGCCACCGCAGCCTTGACCTGCTGGGCTCCAGCGATCCTTCCGCCTCAGCCTTCCAAGTAGCTGGAACTATTGGCGCGTGCTACCACGCCCAGCTAATTTTTAAATTTACTGAGAGATGAGGTCTCGCCAAGTTGCGCAGGCAGGTCTCGAACCCTTGGGCTCAGGCAATCCACTCACCTCAGCCTCCCAAGGTGCAGGATTACAGCCTGAGTCACCGAGCCCGGCTGCAGGCACCTTTCTTAACTTTTTGGGAGCTGTCCGTCTGCTTGCTGCCTGGCGTGGGGGTGGGGCTGGAGCTGCAGCCTGAGGATCCTGGCTTCCTCACCTGCTGGGGGACCTGGCCTGCCCTCAGCTTCCTCTTAAGGACCTTGTCCCATCAGGTCATGGAAAGGGAGCAAGAGGAAATGGAGGAAGAGGACAGTTCATTTAAGCTCTGTGTTCCAGGCATTGTCATCTTCCAGCCAACACTGCGTAAGACTTTCAGGGTCACAGGTACAGTGGGTAAGCGCTTCCACCCCACACCCCCTCCCAAGGTGCCCCCGGACCCAGAAAGCTCAGCTTTGACCCAGAACTAGGGGGTGCAGTACCAGTACTAACCACCAGGTGATACCAGAGGACCTAAGATGATCACCAAGACGGGTGATGATGTGTGGCTGGCTGTAGGCCAAGCTAGGTCTGGTTAGGGTCTTTCTCAGAGTTTGGGACGCAGCGAGGTGAGGGTTGGGACTGGGGATGGCACTGCTCAAGCACCACCCTTTCTACAGCCCGGAGGCTTCTAACTCTGGTGGCTACCTCCAACTCTGGTTTTCCCATCATGCTCTGCTATGACAGAGCTCCCAGCGGAGCCCCTGTGCATCACAGACATGAACAGCAATTGGTTCGGTAATAGTAACCTAAAATAAAAACCACTATTGACGTTTTCATAGCCATTGCTGTGGGCCAGACCCTCTTCTAGGCACTTTGCATAAAATGCCACCTGACAACTCTGACGTAGGTCCTGTTATTATCTCCACTTCACACTGAGGAAACTGAGGCACAGAGAGGTTAAATAACTTGTCCAAGGCCACACAGCTAGTGATTCAGGCAGCTTGGGTTCCAGATCCAAGTTCTTGTGTCGGTGGCTGGAGGCAGGGTAGTCCTCAGGCCCTGGCATGCTCTCCCCAGAAGGTGAAGGCGCATGCTCACACTTTGCTGGAGGGAGCCCATGAAAAGTGAGCTTTTCAGGGAAGGCAAGGCAATGGAGAGGTGGTGCCCGGCTGGCTCCGGGCCACTCAAGAAGAGAGGGCTATGACTGGGGGTGGCCATGGATCACACAGAGCTGGGATGAGCTCAGCAGCGTTTGCCACCTCCTCTTCCCGGGGTCCCCAGGGGAGGGTCCTCCCTACTCCCACCTGTCCCATCCCCACCTCTCTGGCTCTCAGGCTTTGTGAAGTCAGAGTTAAAGAAGCTTCTAGCCGTGCAGCAAGAGTCCCGCCTCTGGAAGATAGGCAGCCAGGAGGGCTGTAAGCTGCTTACCCAGTTGGACGTCACCCTGGAGGAGGCAGGCATTGTAAATGGCCAGGTGCGCCTGTATGGGACTAGACCCTGCCTGGGGTCACTGAAAAAAGTGGGGCTGGAGGCTTCCTATCCCACAGGGCCCTGGCTCCTGCCTGCAGCCCCCACTGCCAGGACAGGGTAGGCACAATTCCTTCTTGATGGTAGTATTTCTGAGTTCAGGACCCTGGCCCCTGTGTGGGCACACACACACACACATACTTCTCCATCTGTCTTTCTGGTTTTCACTTGACTCAGAGTCACAACGTTCACTTTTTATTTATTTATTTTATTTATTTATTTTTTTGAGTTGGAGTCTCACTCTGTCGCCCAGACTGGAGCGCAGTGGCCGCTCCCGGCCACCGCAGCCTCAACCTGGTGGGCTCCGGAGATCCTTCCGCCTCCGCCTTCCAAGTAGACGGAACTACAGGTGCGCACTACCACGCCCGGCTCATTTTTTATTTATTGTAGAGATGAGGTCTCACCAAGTTGCCCAGGTGGGTCTCGAACCCTCAGGCTCAGGCAATCCACTCACCTCAGCCTCCCAAAGGCGCGGGATTACAGGCTGAGCCACCGGGCCCGGCTACAACGTTCATTTTTAGGTCTTAAGTTTGCCATTCGCTTGCTGTGTGGTCTTGGACAAGTCCCTTCCCCTTGAGCCTTGGTTTCCTCATCCGGATAGTGATGGGATATGTCTAGACAGACTGCAAGACAGACTTTTCTATGCATCTGTAATTAACATAATGTTGCTGTTTTTCTCATCTTTCTCCCATTCACATCCACTCCCACAAACACACAGGCTCAGGGAAGTGACCCCACCAAGTCAGACCGAGAGCCCTGCCCCCCACCCCCTCCTTGACATCAGCCTTTAAAGGTTAGGCCTGTCTCCGCGCCTCTGGGTGCACGTTGATGAATCTGTTGTTGAAAGTGTGTCTGTGCCATTTGTGTGTCACTCTCCGTCCATCCATCATCTCACTCCTGTATTCAGTGGACATGTGCCCTGACGGTCTCTGTAGTTTGCAAAAGGCAACGGCACCAGATTCGGAGGCCATGGGCTTTTGTGACAGTCCCTACCTGGCCATCGACTTGCCCTGTGACTCTGAGTGGGAGCCTCAGTTTCCCTATCTGGAAAAGGGGCCTTCTGCTAGGATCTATGAGAAGACGAGCGTGTGACGGCAGACGCTGCAGGCTGCCCTGGTACTTGGGATCAGGGTATGACTCACCTTGGAATAGTAACTGTCAGAAAAGCATGCCCACTAGGCACTGAAGGACCCTTCTCAGTGTCCCAAGCCGGCCACATGCCGATGTCACAGGGAGCCCCCTACATCACCTCATCCCTAACCATACAAGTTGCCAGCACCTGGCAGGGCCCCTCGCTTTTGCCTTTTCATGTGGACAGTTCCAGTCTTGGGACCAGCCCTCACCCAGGCCTCCCTCTTCTTCCTCTTCCCTCCCCTCCCCTCCAGAGCCACTCCTGAGCCAACCTGGCCTGCTCCATTTCTGGGTTAGCCTGAGCAGCACCGGGAACCCCAGGGAGCTTCTGGGTAGCAAGCAGGGGCTCAGCCCAGGCCTCACTCCGGGGACAGAGCTGCCTCAGGAGTATCTTTCTCCTACGGGTGTTTCAAGGGTCCTGTTCTCCCCGCATCTCTTTCTATCTGACCTTGGGGACACCAAGCTGAGGTGGGAGGGGGTTGTCCCCCAGAATGCAGGGCCTGGGGGAGGGGCGCCGAGGTAGCTAGAGCACCCCCATAGGCTGGAGGGAAGGGTGTGGAGCCTCCTTGGCTTGGTGTTCAGAACAAAGGAGAGGGAGGGTAGGGGCTGGCTGGGGTGCCTGGAGCCTCCAAGGAACCCTTCAAGGTGGAGGGAGAAGGGGACCCTCCACTTCATGGAAGGGGGAAGCTCAGGTTGGAAGAGCTGTGCCAGCCATAGGAAGGTGGGGGCGTTCAGGAAATGGTGTCCTGGGGTGCTTGTCTCTGGGGGACAGGTAGGAAGGTTCTAGGGCACAGAGGAGGGAGGCGAGGGAACCTGGGGACACTGAGGCATCCTCCTCCCCCTTTCTGCCCCAGCACCTGCTTCTTGAGGAGATGGACGAGGTGGGAAACTGACCTCCAGAGTGACCTCCAGAGTGAGCAGGGGGACCTGGGAGGGCCCTGGAACCCACCCAAGGGATGTGCCTCTCCCTTCGGGCACAACCAAGAGCCCTAGTGACAGGGCCCTTGAGACCCTGCCCATGTGTCTGCAGGGTGGGCCTGCCCAACTGGTGTCCCAACTCATCGGACTCAGGCACGTGATGTTATTCATAAAAACCTACTTTGACCTTGGCATTGGTATTGGCTGTCTGTCTTTGGACCCCACCCCTATCCGTAACCCTGGAGCAAGCCCAGTCTATCTGGCCTTGATCTTGAACCCCTGTCCATGCCCACAGGGGCTGCAGAGTGGAGTGGCCCCAGCAGGACCTCTGAATAGGGCAGGCAGGAGGGTTGGTGGCCTGACCTGGGGTGGGGAAGGACCCATGGCCCACAGCATCAGGGGACCCCCTGCTGCCTGCAAGCCCTGCCCCTGTGAGGAGGAGTGTAGCTGCCTGGATCCGGGAATTCTCCGGCAGGAAGTTCCTGCCCAGCCAGCCCAGAGACAAAGCCAGGAAAGAGGCCTTGGACTGGGGACCTGCCTCGGTGGGCTGGACTGATTGGGGGCAGGCTAGGGGTCCCTGGGGCTGATGCAGGAGGGGGCAGTCCCTCCGCCCGTGACACCCATCCTCAACGGAGGCATGTGCAGGTCTGGGCACCTCTGGGGATCCCAGGCAGGGGAGGTAACAGGGATGCCGTGTGGCCTCCGAAGAGGGCCCGGTGCTACCTGTTCTCAGAAGCAAGGATGGGCTGTGGTTGGGGGTGCTGGATATGTGCCTGAATGGCCACGCAGGGGCACCCACGTGCCTGGCGGGAGGACCAGGTGCAGTGTGGACACCAGGAGGTGCTGTTCACCAGGAGGTCCTGCTGGCTTCCCAGTGGAGCCCCCAATTCCTTCCCTTCTGCCTGGGTTCAGGCTCGGAGCCACCAGGCCTGGCTACTTTTTCAAATTTCTGTGGTCGAGGTGAGGTCTCGCCAAGTTGCCCGGGCTGATCTCGGGCCCCTGGAGTCCTCTGGCCTCCACCTCCCAAAGTGCCGGGACATTTTTCAGGACTGCAGCAAATATAATAGAAAAAGCGCTTCTACTGCCCCCAGCTCTTCCCTACAGTGGCCATGCGTGGAAGCGTGCCTGATGCTCTCATGGCGTCCCCACTGAGTCAAGCCCGAGGCCCGCTGCACAGCTGAAGTTCAACATCAGACTATGGTAGCCATCCTTAATTAAGTAATGTGATTGACAGTAACAGCTGTTTGTTGCTTGGGTGGGGAAAGGGAAACTGCCCTGACGGGGCCCCAGCCCAGGCCAGCCCTAGAAGCTGCAAGGTCCCGCCTCCTATTCCTCAGCCTGCAGGGGGCGGAGGAGCTTGGGGAAGGTGGTGATTCATGGGTGGGCTGGGGCTTCCTGGCCAGGGCCCCTGGAGTCCTTGACTCAGACCCTGAGCTAGGGCTGGTGAAGGGCCCATCTAAACCGTCCCCCTGAGTCAACCAGGAGGCCTTGTGACCAGATGACTCACCTGTGTCCTAAATGCCCTGTTAATCATTTCCTCCCAGAGTGTTGGCTATTGGGAAGGGCGGAGGCCTTGGAGGGCAGCCCTTGGGGCTCCCTGGAGCACCTGGACCTTGGGCGGGCGGGCAGAAGCCTTGGTGCAGTGTGTGGGACCCGGGGCTGGTCACTCTTCCTCTCAGCTCCTCCGTCTGTTCACTGTCCCATGAGGATCGTGGCACCTCCCTGCCCACTCTGGGGTTCCTATGCTCCACAGACCTCTGTGAGCTGGGTTGTGTGGCCTGCCGGTGCCGTCCCTGAGAGGACAGGCTCTGCACTGGCGTGGCCTGAGGGCCACTTCCCCACCCACAGGCTCTGGGTTGGTGTCTGTGGAAGGGCCTGGCCTGACATTCATGCGAGAGGAGGCAGGGAGACATCATGGAGCCCCACTGTGGGGGAGGCCCCGTGAGTGAGTGCAGAGGGCTGGGGTAGTGCTCTGGGCTAACATGGAGGGAGCCCAGGCATTTCTGGAAGGCTTCAGGGGAACACTGCAGACACGCCTGTGGGTCAGACCTGAGGATTGGGCTGCTCTCAAAGCTGCCCTCTCTTCCCAGGTGTGGAGACGTCAGGGGGATGGCCTCCATGCATCCTCCTGACCAGGGTGCTGGACTGATGGGCCAGAGGTCTCTGAAGCCCTGTCCAGAGAGCTCAGCTGACCAAGCCATGCGCCCTAGCAGGGACAATGTCCCCCAGAGGTGGGTGCCTTTGTCACTGCTCAAAAGGGCCCACTGGGCTGGCAGAGGTCCTGACCAGGCCCACCAGGTTTGGATCATTCTGACAGGACTTGCCAAGTCTCTGTCACTCCCTGGTTTCTCTCTTCTCCTTCACTTTCCCCATCTCTCTCTGTGGGTACCTGTATCTCTGTCTCCCCATGCCTCCCTTTGTCTCTGTCTCTTTCTTCACTCAGGTAGGATGAAGGCAAAAAAAGTAGACCCTACGTTCATTCTGAGAATATTCTGGGGACTCAGTAGTGGTTGAAAGGAAGGCAGCAGGTTGAGGCCTTTGGGAGTTGGGAGGGTAGGGCGGGTGGTCCAGGGTGGGCCTGCCCAACTCAGGACAATGTGTGATCCCCCTCCTGTGGGCTCCTGGCCAGGACCTCTCAGTGAGTTGGTGCCTCAGGTCCTGCCTGGGGTCACTGGTAGTCAGCCTTGCCTATAGTGGGGTGAGGGGAAGGCAAAACCATTCCATTATCCAGTTGGGGGATGAGCTGGGGCACAGAAGGGCAGAGGGGAGAGACCTGGGCTCCAACTGCAGCAAGTTCATGTGATGGCAGTCAGCTCTCATACCTCTCTGAGTCTCAGTCTCCACATCTGCGAAATGGGTGAATCACAGGTGTCTCATGAAGGCTGAATGAAGAGCTGCACAGTTCATAGAAGGTGCTCCAATAATCCATGGAGCAAATATTTATTAAGCACCTGCGATCTCCCAGTCCTGTCTAGGCACTGGGGAGTAGAGCTGTGAACAGGACAAAGCAAACCCGCACTTTTGGGAGACGTACTTTATTGCTAGCAAGACAAACCATGAACAGTTAATATGTCGGGGTGGCAAGGACAATGAAGAAAGATGAGGCTGCATAATGGACTGGGGAACTCAGATGCTGCTTTAGACAGAGTGATGAGACAGGAAGGTCACATGCAGGAAGTGAGGGAGGGAGCCGGAGGATAACTGGGGACGCGCAGTACAGTGGGAATAGCAAGTGCAAATGCCCCAAGGCGGGGAGCAGGCCTGGTGGGCTTAAGGTGTGGGAAAGAGACCTGTGTGAACTTGAGTGAGTAGAACAGGAAGTGAGGTCAGAAAGGAAGTGCAGAGATGACGTACTTTGCTGGCCAGGGGCTTGGAGGGGGTTCTTTCTGTTTTTGTGAGATGGGATCTCTTTCTGTTGCCCAGGCTGGAGTGCAGTGGCACAATCACGGCTCACTGCAGCCTCGAACTCCTGGGCTCAAGCAATCCTCCCACCTCAGCCTCCCTAGTAGCTGAGACCACGACCGGCTAATTCATTTTTAATTTTTATTTTATTTTATTTTTTTGAGTTGGAGTCTCACTCGGTCGCCCAGACTGGAGGGCAGTGGCCGCTCCCGGCCACCGCAGCAGCCTCGGCCTGCTGGGCTCCAGCGATCC